ATCAATGGATAGGTCTATTCTTGTACACTTCTACGTGTTTTCGGATGTTACAAAATTCTTATTACCAGATCCGCTATAAGAAGCGTTCCATTTAAAATCCCCACCTTGTATATAAGTATGGTAAATTTATTGATTTAATACCTTTTATAAATTTAGTAGTGTTAAAAATCTAAATTTTGATTTAAAAATCTCTCATTTACCAATTTGTAAAACTGTTCAAATTTTAACCCCAAAATTGAATTCGTAAATTTGTTTAAAATAAATCTTGATTTATTTATCTTGTTTTTATTTTATTTAACATCTTTATATATAATAAATGTATTATTACAGTCTGTCTTCTTTCGATCCGCATAAAATATCTTCTTTCTCTTTTCCGATGATTGGGACCAAACAAAACATACTTTATGAATGAAATGCATCATCTGTTGTTTCTTTTATCTAAGATTTACGTATTAACAAGAATAGAATTACCAAAATTACTCTGTTAAACAAAAGAAGTTGCAAAAACATCATAATCCAAGACTTTTATAAAAGTGGCAACAGCGCAGACCAAAATCAAACTTTTAATGAAGGCGCTTAGAAAAAGAAACTACATACTTACTTTTTTTATTTACTTTAAAATAACACAAAACACACATTGTGTAGGGAAAATCTTTTTTTTTATTATGGCCACTTTAATACATTAAATAAGCTTATAAATATTTAAAATCAATAATTAAGTCATTGAGCAATAAAATCACAATATTTTTCTTAATGGTATTCTATCTATTCTTAAACTAAAAAAAAGGTACATCTATCATTTAAAAGGTAACATTATTTAAATTATTTTCTTAAAGTATAATTTATAACCACCGTAACGTAACTTAACTTAACGCCGTAGAAACTTAACCTAAGATATAAAAATAAAGTCTATTTATAAATGTCCGTAACGTAAGAGTAGAGCATGCGTGTTGATTTCAGAGATTATCAAATTATTGACAACCTTATGAAATAAACAAGTGTAAACTATGTACTTAACCTCTAAATAAAACTTATAAATTATGATTTTGCTATATAGAAAGAATATATTAACTACTTTAAAAGCAATAATATAAAAATATAATAAAACAAAATAGTTTACCGAAGATGTTGATTGTTTTTGAGCAATAATGAGAATTTAATCTTTCCTAGCAAAAAAGTTTTGTCTTATTTCAGTTCTAGACTTGATGTTTATAGGTATATGCAGCTACACTCATATCTCATAGATAGTTTATCCCCAATAACATAAACACAAATCATTCATGATAATGTATGTCCATCAAAAAGGAGAATGATAGTTTACAAATGGTATTTTTCTATTTATTTATAAAAAAAATAAAAAGAATAATTGACAGTTATCACATGCTGAACGCAGAATTATCTCATTGGCTAACCGTAAGGTCTTAAGTTAAGTTATGTTGTTAAGTTAAAAGTTGGTGAACTTTCTACGGTACGTTAAGTTCTTAAGTTACGTTACGAACATTATAAATAAGTATACGTAAATTCAATATTTCAACTTCTTACGTTAAGTTCTTAAGTTACGTTACGGCGGTTATAAATTAAGCTTAAGAGTTCTAGTAACAGCGTAAAATTTTTGTCATGTTAAATTATTATACCACAGATCCATCACATAAAGACATTTTTTTTTTAAATCTTGAAACTGTCGATTACATAAAAATTAAAAATATATCATAAAATTACGTTTGGAACCAGAATATATAGGTGCGATCGTTTATTCAGGAGCTTGTAGCGGAAGAGGAATGGGAGTTTTAAACTGTCACTTATGCGTGTTGAACTGTCAGTTATGTGACATTTTATTGAAATAAACCATGGATATGACAACTTGAAGATAATTAATTATTAGGCATTCCAAACAGCTCCTTCAAGAAGATCATACAATTTGGAGAAACGAGTATAGTATCACTAATTCAGACAAAAATATATACGTAGAATATCAGACAATTTAATAATACCGCCCATAATCACTTATAATTACCAATTAGGCATTCCAAACAAAATGGCTGCCCATTTTAAATGACAGGCCACTGACAAGCACATGATAAGTTATAATATGGCAACACTGTGGGCATGGTGGTTTGATAAGGTCAATGATATAGATAGTTATATAGATTGAACACCTATGTTTTAAAATTAAACATAACTTTATGCCTTGAAGTAAAAATGTAGGCAATTATATATTTTTTTAAATATTCAAAGGCTGGAAATTTAAAACACATTTTTGCTAAACCGATTCAAATTAATGAACACTTGTCAGGCAATATGGCCGCTCGAAAACGACCTGCTTTTTAAGCAATCTATATAACTATATATGAAGCATTGATCCTGTCAATGACAACAGGCCCACAATGACAATAGGCCCACAGGATTGCCATATCTAAACTGTCAGATCCCACGGGCAACATTTTGACAGGTCGTTGGAATGCCTAATTTGTAACTATTTTTTATATACAAAATGCTGCGTTTGAATATCCACATCGGATGCATCTGAGATCACGTGATTCAATATACGTAAATGTAGTAGGATAGATGTGTCCGATATGGGCGTCGTTACACAACTCTATAGGGACAAAATTTTGAAAAAAATTTAGAATGTTTATTTGTTGGAAAACAAAGAAACTGGAAAATACAGGAGTAATGCAAAATAACGAAAGTCTCTTAAATAAAGAAAATAACCCAACAAAAAAGACAAAAACTAAAATAAGAAAAAACAAGAAACATATTTTTTAAAAACAAACAGGTGTGATATAAAAATAGGAACAAGAAGACACAGCCACATATAACAATGAAAAAAATAAAATATTTATAAAAACGAAAACTCAAAATTTTAAATATTATCTTTCTCTACCAAAAATATCAATAACAGAAGACATTTTTTTTGTTTCCTGCGATTAATTTTTGATGTAGGCTCATCATGCATAGCCCAGTCAGCCTATTTTCATTCATTCATTACAGACCGTATTCATGTTTTAAGACGCCTTAGTGCACAAAGCACGTCTCCTTTAGATACTCCACGCCAATTTTAGACATTTAAACCAAGCGCCACCTTGAGTTTGGAGTAGGAACTAAAATGACAATTGACATATGGCGGTAAATTCAAATTGTAATTTTTAGTAGTAGGTAGTCTTTTTACCTGAGGATAAATGTAATATAGGTAATGGATTAAAAGGACTATTCATTAACTGATAAAAAAATATTTTCCTTTCAAATACAGATGGTATACTTTCTTATGTGAACAATATTTCGAGATCTAGTCCAACGATAAATAGATTATCAATTAGGTGTACCTGTTTGTCTTTTTATGATACATGATGAATCAGTGAAGTTTTTCTCCAAATTTTCAACGTAGCACCAAAATCATTGCAAAACATAGTAGGAAATAGAAAAACAAAACATCACAATTTTGCAAATAACTAAGAAGACACTATAAACAGAAACTACAGGCCAACAGAAAAAAAAAAACACTAAAATTAGACGAAAAAATCGGAATACAAAAACATAAATACACGTCATAATCTTTGGATTCTTTGGTTAAGTTTCACCCATAAAAAAATGGAGGAAGAAAACACCAGTAGCTCTATCTAGTTTTGGAGCAAATAGCATAAAAAATGTCAGTTGTTGGTTTTGACCTTGGTCATTCATGTGGAACCTTTATGTGCTTTGTGCCTTAGCGGGTTAAACGTTCTCTCAATCGACGCCGTCGTTGGTGGAAGAGCCATAAATATTTGTATGCCTGGATAAAATTCACAAAGTTTGGACGCTACATCATTAATGGAGAGCTGATCGTGTGCAGGAAGCTCATTCGTACTAGGATTAGCTATCTACATTTGGTATTCAGCTTCAGAATTGTCGATTCCAAATTTTTCTACGGCAGTCAAAAAAGTATTATTTTTTTATGTTTTTAGGAATACTAGAGTCTTCGGAAAAGCGTGATGTTACCGACGAAATAAGGGAATCCAGATATGGAATAAATGCAGTCAACCTATAATATTCTTCAACTGTATTAGCCTGAATATTATTTCTAGGAGATTGTTGTACCGTAATTCGTGACATCTTGATTTCTACACCTGTCATGTTACTTATTTCTTCTATTTCCTTAAACACTTCAATCAGGTCAAATACTACCTAATACTTATGCTCGCACGGCGACAATCGACAATATAAGCCAGTGCCAGTTGTGTTAGTTCTATAATTTTCCGTGTACAGCGTTGTCAAACTGTAGCACCTAACTAACGATATATCAAGTGTTGCGCAAAAAGCGTAACACTATATTTGCGCTTTTTGTCTAAGTCTTGAGATTTCATGGACCCTCCACTTTTTTTGCGAATTTTATCTGCAAAGGTAATAACAGATGACATTGTGTATTTTTCCTTTTTGTTCTTATAAATACCGGATGTTGATATTCAAAACATAAAAATACACTTTAAGAAACTTTACATGTCAAAAACATATTCTGAATATAGTGATTGTGATTACTAATGAATTACCATAAATCCGTATCCTCTTATTTTGTACTTTTAAATCATATTTGAAAAAATATTTTAGCTTTTTATGTTGGTAATAAACGACCCTTTTAGTGTTCGATTTAATCCGATTAGTGACAGTTTAACACGCTTAAATGTCATTTAAAAGCACCCTAAAAAACTCGCTCCTGTCCCGTTCTATCCCTTGGCTAATCCGAACGCTACTACTATTGGTAGCCTTCGGATGGAGTAAACGACCACTACTTGTAAATACAATAATGACAGTTGACATTTGAAGTGGTTAAACGATTGTTAAATTCTAGCATAATTTGAATTTGAAAATTGACTTTAAAATCAAATATACTCGTAAATAATTTTTGGACCTTATTACTCGATCCAAATTAGACGTTCATAGAAATATGAAGGTATTTAACATAATTATAGAGATATTTGAAAAAATAACTTTCAAAAGGTAGGTAGATAGGTAGGTCAAGACATTAATTACTTCCATTCCAATGCGAAAGAAGAGTGTAATGGTGTATTTAATCCGTCAACAGATAAGGTCTGAAATAAGATAAGTATAATTATTATTAGAAAGAGTATGATTTCCTGACTAGTATAATTATTATATTGGTATGTTAAAAACTAATGATTTCGAAATCAATAAATAAAAATACTAACAGTGTAATAGTCGGTTGCAGATTCGACTCAATATATTGAGTCGAATGAAATAGTTAAGAAATATTAGAAAAATTATCTGCTTACCTTGGTGTTTTTATCAAATTGAACATTTTTGACAGCGACGCCGTTCATCAAAACCGATTTCGGTTTTTGGGCCACGCCCAAAACCGTTACGCTCGTCAAATTGGGTGGTATTTCAGATCCGACGAATTCCGTGTTAGAACGCAGCGCGTTACCGTTCAATTCAAACGTAATCAACGAATATTTTTTTTCTTCGTAAGAATCTGAAATAGAAATAATTAGGTTGCATTTATTTCACATGTAATTTGTATGCGAATATCATATCAAAATGTTCAACAATATATTGCGGACCACAGTTAAAATTCGGTATCGGTCTTAGGGCGCTGAGTTACCGTTCACATCGGAATTCTGACTGTCGTGCATGTGGCGACATTGCAAGCACCACATAGTCTGACCTTTAGGGTATGGTCCGTTATTAACCGAAATATCGGTTATTAAGTCCAAAACTAACCGCTCTGCTTAACATTCCTGAAAAATCGGTTAAATTAGGGACGCGGTTATCTGAAAATGGTGACTCAAACGTCAATTAACTAATCGCTATATTTTTACGATTATCGAATTTCAATCTGTCACAAAAATGACGTAAATTTCGACTGTGGTCCAAATGTAACCAAGAAATTAGTTTTTTTTAGGAACCACTGTCAAAAAATCCTGGTTACTTGCGGTTAGTAGTCGGTTAATAATGGACCATATTCTTAGTTTAGACTTTTATGTCATTTTAGTTTAAGACTCACATACTTTGATTACTATACGCTGCAAGAAAGAGAGGTCCGACACGCCCAACAGAGGGCGCGGCCATTTTGATGCCTTTACCACAGTTTATAGCTAAAGAATCAGTTCGCTCACTCTGCGTCGGCACTTTTGATCTCAATGTTCTAGTTTATACACTGCGCAACTCGGATAATACAATATATGACAACCGCCTATAATAAAATAGCAGTCTTCTGCGCATCCTGAATATGTATTCCTGGAGTGGATGTTATTTTGGCACTTTCAACTTTAGCAATAAACTGTGACTTCAAAAATAATATTCTGTGACACTGACAGCAGCAAGCAAAATATTAAAAATATTGCGCCAAGATGTAGGCAACACATAATAAGGCATCAAAATGGAGGAGTTTTCTATCTCCTTTTAAAAGGCACTCAGAAAGCTGCGCAGTGCGGCCATTCTCCGTATAGTAAGAGAAAATCAAAGCATGTGTTAAGACCTCTTAGTCAATTTTATTTGAGGTTAGCCAAATGTCGATGTCAGAAACTGACGTTATAATATCAATCTATGATCATAGTCGATAACCTGTGCGCACTAGCGCCATACCTATTTGAACTTTGGTAACGAAGAAAAAAAGAAATAAAGAATAACAAAATCAGAAGACAAGACGTAACCTTTGTCATAACATTTTTTATATAACGCTAAAATAAAATTATCTTTATTATTTACTCAGATTCTGATTTCCTGCGTATAGATATTGCTACATACAGAGCAATAACCCTATTCCATATCGCACATAATCTTTGAAAAATGCTCTATTTCACACACATGTGGATAATAATCTACCTTCCACATAGACGCTCACTTCTTGTATTTTAATCTATTTGATTGTAAATAGATTCAATTGGAAAAAGAATCGAGTGTAAATAAAATTGATAGTAAAGCGAATTGATTGTGAAAATCTATTGTTAAAATCGATTGCAAAGAGTAATAATAGTGAAAAAGAATCTCAAATTAGGTCCATTTTAGGAAAATCATGTATAGAGACAAAATAATAGAGAATGACATCATAAGCAACTTTGATCATGATTCCTATACTTTCCTTATCTGTGCACAGAGAGGAAAGTAAAAAATGGCCGTGACCGTATTTTCTTAGGCAACCCATTTGCGGTATATTTAAAAATATATTTTATTTAATAAAAAATAATTTTTATCCATCAAACAGATGGGTGAAGGTCGACCTTACTTACGGATCCTGGACTATTACCATATCCAATTTCATCAACATTTATATGGTACTGATTTTCAACGACTCATAGATTTTAGTTTATGGGCGCTAGAACAGGTAGGAGAAAATAGAGACTTTTTTGATTTTGTCTTATTTACAGACGAATCCACTTTCCATAATAATGGCTTAGTAAATCGCAATAATTTCCATTACTATGATACAGAAAATCGGCACCTATTTAGAACTATTGACCGACAAAACAGATGGAGCATAAATGTTTATGGGGGGATTATTGGAGAGAAAGTTATAGGCCCATATTTTTTTAATAGTCATCTAAATGGAAATAATGTTTTGAGGTTCCTTCGTTCAGATTTTTGGTTGCTTCTCGAAGATATACCATTGAACGTACGGCAACAAATGTGGCTACAATTAGATGGTGCTCCTTCTCATTTTGCGCGGGACGTGAGAAATTACTTAGACGGGAAATTTCCTAATAAATGGATAGGAAGAGGAGGCCCATGCCATTGGCCACCTAGATCACCCTGTTTAACATCCCCAGACTTGTTACATAAAAAGTCTTGTATACAATACCCAGCAACCACGCCAGAAGATATGAAGGGAACGAATTACGAATGCATTTGCAACTATTACGCCAGATATGCTAAAAAGAGTAAGAAATTAGTTTGAACGAAGGATCACAATGTGTATTTAAGAAGACGGTCATCATTTTGATCTATTAAATTAATTTATTAACAATGTTAGTAAAACTATCACAGATAGGTATAGGGAATACCTACATTGTTTGAAAGGTTTTCGAAAGATACTTCAAATAACGTTAAAATATATTTGGTGTTCTATTTAAAATAACGAAGTTTTTAGTGTTTAAATCTACGTATAATAAATAGTATTTCGCAAACACCCTATATAATATTTTTGATCAGTAAGTATTTGAGGTTACAGCCCAGAATACGCTTAATGTACCTTAAAAAAATCAATTTGAAATATTAAGAAATGTAGGATATATTTGCATTTTTTAAACACCCAAAAATTTTGAAAATCTTCGAAAATATAAGGTGTCCCGATTAAAAAACCTAACTTTGATATATTCCAATTTCCTGGAGCACCCTGTATTATTGAAATTATTTTTAAATTGTTGCCTTTTCTAATATACATCTCACCGTAAAAAACCGATTTCATAAAAAAAGTTTAGTTTTGGACATACAGACCGAGGCGTTACCGGTGTTAAGTTAAGTCTTCATTTATAAATATTCCTGTTTTCTTTAACTGTTTTGTGGTCTAAAAAATTTCATTTTTCTTTAATTCTGTTACATAATCCACAATTATGATTCTTGTTTTCTCTTTATTATTCTATAAACATTATTTATTTCTAACTCTGCACATGGAATTTTTAAATGACTGCCGAATAGTTTTGTGATCATACTTAACAAATCTTCATTATTAGTTTCTTTTACACCATCTAATCGTAAACAATTTTTTCTTATATTTTGCTGCACATCATCCATTTTATAATCCCAGCTTTTATATTTTTTTCATTAGAATCAATTGAGTTCTCCAAATCTTTGACTTTATCACATATTTATGTTATTTGTTTTTGCAATAAATCAAACTTTTTATCAAACTGCTCTTCGATTTTATTCAAAAATGTTTGACATACCTTTTCTGCCACCTCTTCTAAGAACACTTCATCCATCTTATATTGACTTCTAGTGGGCATGACCTATGGACTATCTGTCAATTGTCAATATTTTGTGGAATTGGCTATTGCATTAATTAATAATGAATTATTCAAATTGCGTCTTTATCACTTATCTCTAACTGAAACTGCACTCTTCACTTTCAGTAGAAACTATTCTAAAGTATGATAGTGACTTAAACACAATTTCTGTACAAAATACCATCCAAATTTTAAAGTAAGTAGGAGCTCAACAAATACTGAAGGTTCATCGCACTTATGTATGTTCATCGATAACTCTTTACCACGTTATCTGATTTTTATGCACCTCTAGTGATAATTTTTTACCACGTAGTTCGATTTCTATGATTCTTTTTTTTAGAAAGGGGATACTTCAAGGATAGTTCCATATATGGGCCATATTTATAAAAAGAAGCTTTACCTTTTGCTTTTAAAAATTAAAGCAATTCTTCAAGGTATATGTATAAAAAAGTGAAGGAAAAGGTTTTGCTTCAAGGACTTTGCTTTAAAGTAAAAGGTTTTACGTTTTTTGTATTTATAAAAAGAAGCATTTGCTCAAAAACTAAAAGATTTGCATTTAAAAAAAGGAATCTAGGTTTACATCAACTTTTCTTATTCTTTTCAGCCATAACAAAACTTGTAACGTAAACATTTGTGTATTCGTGTGTTAAAATCTATTTGGAGTATAAGCGATCTTGGTTTGTGTGGTCCCAGTGTTGTGTTTGTTATGGCCTCTTCAACTGATATGTATGATCACCTTTTGTTAGCTACCACTCCAGTCATCTGATGTGCATCACTTTTCGTCATAATGTCATAGCTTGAAGTAGGTTGATTTGGCATATCAATTGCAAAAGCTTCTAGTAAAAATATACATAGAAAGTACGTACTAATAGTGAACATGAATATATTTCTTACCTGGTACCCGACGTAGTACAGGATTTAACCACGGCCTTCAACATTACTTTCTCCCAGGACAGAAGGAGAATAGGTTTTTTCTCTGTTTTATTTTTCAATCGTGTTTTCATACTGTTCACTTTTTTCATGAAAGCTTTAATTTCTCTCCTTGCCAAACAGTCCCGTATTTCTTAACGATTTCAGTTAGTGCAGCAGTTTTCTTCTTTTTCATCGCTCGAGAATATCCGAAAAAGCTTGATCTCTTTCAGCGATAAACATCATCTAAGTAGTCACATCTTCGCTACCTTCCTGTTCACTGTGTCAGACATTTTAAATTTGTTCTTTCAACACTGTACAAAAAATCAGAAGGATCAACTACTCCCCAATTCACTTGCGACCAGTTTTTAAACATATACGCATTGAGTGCACACTACAAGTTTCAGCTAGTTGTCAAAATCGAAAATGGCTAATCATTATACCTTTAAATTCCTTTATCCAAAGTATTTGCTTGCAAGGAAAAAGTAGAGATTATGAATACGAATTATAGTAAAATCTTTTACTTTTACGTTTTGCTCAATCAAAAATCTCAATTTTTAAGAGAATCTGCACGGTTTTGAAGTCTCATTTAAAATACCTGTACTGAATTTTAACTGTGACCTAAATTGTAATAGATATGCTTACTGAGTGAATCCCCGTCGTCCCAGTACAGTTGACCTACGGCATATTTACTGTCGTCCGATGCCACAAGTAGTTCAAATTTCGACATTCTCGACTCCGTCGTGGTACTTTTGGCCGCCTGCAAAGGTAAGATGTGACCGCCCCTAACCAGCAACGGTATCGTATCCAAAGGTGCGCCCATCGTGTAATTCTGACCGTCGCTGTAAAATCCGCGACGGGTATAGTAATCGAACCAGGTGCCTTTCGGTATATAAGCATAGACGCTTACATCGTTTTCCTAAAAAAACATACTTTCAACTCATTAAACCTTCAAGGACTGAATTATCTCACCTTTAATACCGGGATTATCATTAATGCAGGACCCCAAAGGAATTGGCTATCAATCCCGTACGTATTTATATCCTGTGGGTACCTACAATAATTTTTTTATAATGCATGATTTAACTAATTTATAGAATTCATTAATAGTTTTTAATTTAAAACACCTGCAGGGCTATAGGATATACAAGGTTTTTTGAAATACGTTTACAAATTAAAACTGATTGGGTAATATTTGGACTTTCCACGAATGCATAAAAATATTATTTAATAATCAATTTAATAAAAAGTTTTAAAAACATACTTTCTGTCATGTTAAGGAAAAATACTTGTCTTAAAGGGGGTAGATTTGCACAACTCGCTTTAAATATTAATAAATGAACAGTAAAACAATTTTTGAACCATACACTTTAAAAGTTTAATACCTGGTAGATTTGAACTACTCACTTTAACAATTGGCACACAAGTACAATTATTTTAGAACTACCTACTAGTTTTGAATTATTCGCTTTAATTACAACAAATGTATTATGAAGGTGGTACAGGCACCTCTCTGCAATTTGTCAACCAACAGGCTTTTCGAGGACCTATGGGAAGAGGGGGATGCACAATCATATATTTTTGGTACATTAATACATTTACATTACTTACTAGTAAAGGAGCAGCACCGATTCTAGTCCAAACCTTAGCTAAATTAACATGGGAAATCGCCAAGTTTCATTCTGCATTAAATCGATACCATTTCAAGGTTACGCGCTATGCTATCAATAGATTCGCGGTAGGTAATTATTGCAGATGTCACAATGAATAAGTGTATAAGAAGATAATTGTACCTTTCTCAATATAATACGTTTCATAATGGGAAGTTAATCACAAGTGCAATTTTAGATCTACTATGCTTTCATTACTAGTTTTGAATGCTGTACATTTAAACTACTCGCTTTCACAACAGCAAATTTACCAGAAACATATTTATAAAGATAGTACGTTTAAACTATTCTCTTTAATGCCAGTAAATTTATCAAATATAATTGCGAATCTGCTACATTTGAACTATTCATTTGATAATTGGTAATTTACTAACTTTAGAACTGCTAGTTTTGAACGCGGTACATTTGAACCATTCGCTTTCGTTACCACAAAATTGTGTGAAATATTTTTATTAAGGGTGGTAAATTTGAACTACTAACTTTAATAGTAAATTTACCAGAAATATTTTTTAACGCTATACATTTGAAATACTCGCTAATTTAAAGGTAGGACACATTTGAACTAGTCACTTTAATGTCAGTAAATTTATCAAATATAATTGTGAATATGCTACAATTGAACTATTCATTTAATAATTTGTAATTTACTAACTTTAGAACTGCTAGTTTTGAACGCGGTGCATTTGAACCATTCGCTTTCGTTACCACAAAGTTGTGTGAAATATTTTTATTAAGGGTGGTAAATTTGAACTGCTAACTTTAATAGTAAATTTACCAGAAATATTTTTTAACGCTATACATTTGAAATACTCGCTAATTTAAAGGTAGGACATTTGAACTACTCACTTTAATAGGTAACAATAAATTTATTAGAAATATTTATGAACTTGCATTTATATGCAATAAACTACTCACTTTAATGCCAGTAAATTTATCAAATATAATCGTGAATCTGCTACATTTGATAATTGTTACTTTATCAACTTTAGAGCTTCTAGTTTTGAAAACGGTACATATGAACTATTCGCTTTCATTACCGCAAATTTATTCAGAAATATTCTTATTCAGGGTGGTAAATTTGAACTACTTACTTTAATAGGTACCAATAAATTTATTAGAAATATTTATGAACTTGCTGCATTTAAACTACTCGCTTTTTTAAATGTGGTAGGTACATTCTAACTATTCAAAAGGTGATACATTTGAACTATTCACTATAATACCAGTGATATTATCAGAAATATCTGTGAACCTGCTACATTATTTGAACTTCTCATTTCATAAATGGCAATTTATCAATAGTGCAATGAAAAAACTACTAGGTTTGAGCGCGATACATTTGAACTATTTGATTTCATTACTGCTTTATTATAATGTTTTTTTTTCAAAGTGGTACATTTTGAACTACTTCCTTTAGTTCCAATACATTTATTAAATATTTTTGAACGTTGTACATTTGAACTACTCGCTTTCATTACCACAAATTTATCATTATTTTAAAGGTGGTATATTTGAACTATACACTTTAATACCAGTAATTTATTAGAGATATTTATGAACCTGATATATTTGTTAATAACTGGTAATTTATCACAAGGGCAATTTTAGAATGACTAGTTTTGAAAGCAGTACATTTGATTTGACCTACTCACTTTAGTACTACTAAATCTATCAAAAATATGTTTGAACGTTCGAATTACTCACTCTTTGTACATTTAAACTACTTGCATATATTAATTTATTACCAAATATGTTTTTTAGGTGGTACATTTGAACTAGTTACTTTAATACCAGTAAATTTATTAAATATTTTTGAACGTTGTACATTGGAAATACTCACTTTCAAACCAGTAAATTTATCAGAAATATTTGTGAATCTGCTACATTTGAACTACTCTTATAATAAATTGGTAATTTATCAAGAGTGCAATTTTAGTATTACTATTACTACTACTGCAAATTTATCAGAAATTTATTTTTTTAACGTGACACTTTTGAACTACTCACTTTAATACCACTAAATTTATCAGATATATTTGTGAACATACTATATTTGAAATAACTGGTAATTTATCGCAATTTTCGAACGACTAGTTTTGAAAGCAGTACATTTGAACTACTTGCACTCATTGCAGCAAATTTATCAGAAATATGTTTGTTTAAAGATGGTACATTTGAACTACTCCCTTAAGGACTAGTAAATTTATCAAAAATATTTTTGAAGGTTTGAATTACTCGCCCTTTCAAAGGTGGTACTAACCTTTCATCACAGCAAATTTATTACAAATGTTTTTTTAGGTTGGTACATTAATACCAGTAAATTTATTAAATATTTTTGAACGATGAACTACTCACTTTCATACCGGTAAATTTATCTGAAATATTTGTGAACCTGCTAGATTTGAATTACTCTTTTAATAAATTGGTTATCATCAAGGGTGCAATTTTAATAGTACTATTACTACTACCGCAAATTTATCAGAAATTTGGTTTTTTAACATGACACCTTTGAACTAATTACTTTAATACCACTAAATTTATCACATATATTTGTGAACCTGATATATTTGAAATAACTGGTAATTATCACAAGTGTAATTTTAAAACAAATAGTTTTGAAAGCAGTACACTTGAACTACTTGCTTTCATTGCCACTAATTTATCAACAATTCTTTTTAAAGTTTGAATTACTCGCCCCTTTTAAAGGTGGTACATTTGAACTACTCATTTTCATATCAGTAAATTTATCAGAAATATTTGTGAACCTGCTACATTTGAACTGCTCTCTTAATAAATTGATAAGTGATCACGAGTGCAATTTTAGTACCTACTACTACTACCATCACTTTTTTTTTACTTTAGTATGTACTAATAAATTTATCAAAAATATTTTTAAACTTTTTAATTACTTGGCCTTAAAGGTGGTACATTGGAACTTTGTACATTTGAACTACTCGCTTTCATTGCCGCAAATTTATCAGAAATATGCTGTTTTAAAGGTGATACATTTAAACTACCCACTTTAATATCAGTAAATTTATTAGAAATATTTATGAACGTCGTACATTTGAACTATTAATTTTAATAATTGGTAATTTATCAGATTTACAATTTTAGAATGTGGAATATTTGAAATAATATTTCTAAAAGTGGTAAGTACATACGATCTATTCACCTTAATTAGAGCATATTGAATAAAAATACAGTTTTTACAAGGGTTATATTTAAACTACTTATTTTAATAATGAATATGTAATTTTTTTAAATGTGGTACATCGGAACTACCTGATCTAATAATCGTTAATTTAACATAAATAATTTTAAAATGCTTATACATACCTACCACGTTCGAAAACAACACTAAACTCTTTATATGAAATAATGTTAAGACACAGTGAAGCCGTATAAAGTAGTTGGCAAAATGGGAATTTTCCTAAATTTGATAATGTAACGGTGTAACGTTTTTGGACATCATACCAGTTTTAATAAGTACATGTATTTCAAAAATATCCTGTAATTGTCTAATTTATAGAAGTCGTAACAATTTTTATGATTTCAACTGTTCAACATTCTTAACGACCGATGTAAAGTCGCTTCGTTCTATGCCGAATGTAGCTATAAGAAATAATCAAAGACGTACTATTTTTTATAAAAATTGTCATCAAGATTGAAAATATTTAATCCGAAAAGATAATTTTATACGGGAAATACATATTTGGATATTTTACTTGCTAGAACTTACTCAAAAAATAGCGGCCTGGCGACGGTCTCCCCACTGACGTGCGCTTTGTAAAACAAAGTATACAAGTACGGCAATAGCTGATAACGCACTGTCAAAGCTTTGACAGACGATGCGATCACTTGCTTGCCCATCGCTACTGGGTCCTGATCCTAAAAAACGGACAATTTTAAAAAATCAGACATAAACTATAGAAGAACAGAGGGTTAAAGAAAAATTTCCTCTAGTCTTTCGGGAAAACGTTTTAACGAAAGTGACAGTAAAGTACGAGAATGCGAAGATATAAAAACAGTATAGCTTATTATTGAAGCGGTAAATATTAAAACTTACCACCCCATCATCGGTGTTATGGTTCCTGGAGAACGGGTAAAACGCTCCCAGTTGCATCCAACGGTTGCACAGCGTCGACGTGGTGTTGCCATTAAAACCGCAAATATCTGCTCCCATTAGCGGTACGCCGTACAAGCTAAAGCTCAAAATTCCTGAAATGGACAATAATAAAAACCAGTCGGCATTTACAGTGTTTTTTCGAATTTACCTGGTATGGAAAGTGCCATATCGTCCCAGGAAGACCATACATCGCCGCTCCAATGACCCGCGTAATGACCAAGACCGGAAAAAGAGGACCGCGATATAACCATCGGTCTCTTTCCTCTTATTTCCGCCATTGCGCTGTAAATTAACCATCTATAAAATTCCGGTCATCGAAATGTAGAACAAATATTAGACTTATTTTTAAAAGTATAGAATTCTGTTATACTCCCAATGTTGCATATAGCTGAATACATCTATTGTAGACAGTAAAAAAATGTCTGGAATATGTAATTATGAAATGCAGACATTTGTGACAGCTCCAACATTCGTAGATATTTTTGGAGGTTCCTGACAAGAGGAAATGTTTCTAGTGGTTGGACAAATTTAAAGTTTCACGTTATTATTTTAAATTGTTTCAACAACTGAAGTGAGGTCAGTAATTGTTAGTCCATTTGACCTTCGACAGATGTAATGATTCATTCAATGGCCACTGGATTAGTACCGAACACCTGGAAGCCAGCAATTGTGACATCATTGTTTAAGAAAGGAAGCAAACATGATCCAATTATAGGCCAGTACGTCTATAGAGCAACAACTGCAAAGTGATGAAGAAAATAATAATTTGAGAAATCAATAATTTTTGCCTTAATAATAGATTAATTCCTCTATCACAACATGGTTTTCTACCAAAACGATCAGTAGTAACTAATTTACTCTCATCTCTGAATCAGTGGACAACTTGGCAATTTTAGAATGACTAGTTTTGAAAGCTGTGCATTTGAACTACTCACTTTAGTACTAGTAAATCTAACAAAAATATTTTTGAACGTTTGAATTGCTCGTCCTTTCAAAGGTGGTACAGTTGAACTACTAACTTTAATACCAGTAAATGGGGGGGGGGGGGGAATAAAATTACATAAAAGAGAACTCACCCTCATCAATCCCCTAGGCCTTACCTACCTCAACTAAAAAAAGTTTAAATAGCAAACCACTACTTGTGAAACATCATTGAAAAGCCTAAAAAAAAAAAAAATACTATCCAATGGTATAAATAATAATTGTACCGGGGGGTATTAATAATTATCAAATTAATATCTAAACATTTTGAAAACAAAAGGGATGCAGAAAATAATAACCAGAGAAATCAATGATTTTTGTCTTAATAATAGATTAATTCCTTTATCACAGCATGGTTTTTTACCAAAACGATCAGTAGTAACTTAGTCTCATCTCTGAATCAGTGGACAACTTGGCATGATAATGGTGAACCAACAATGTCATATACCTGGAATATGAAAAAGCCTTTGAAAAAGTACCACATAGAAACCTACTTTTAAAATTGGAACACCTTGGAGTCAGGGAAAATTTACTTAAATAGATTGAGAATTTTTTGATGAATAGGCAGTTTTGTTAATGCTCAGGGATCTGTGCTGGGACCTTCAGAATATTTTGCAGATTATTCAAAATATTATTGCATCCCTCTTAAAAGCCGAGAAGTCTTACAACGAAATCTTGATACAATTAGCAGCTGGTCAGATAGAAGGTTACTCCCCCTAAATCATAATAAATGTACAGTACTACACATAGGCCCAAATAATCCAGAAAATGTATATTACCTCAATGATGAAAGTCTGCTAACAGTTACACTTAAAAAAGATCTCGGCGTTTTTATATCTTCAGATTTAAAAAGGAGGAAACTCATATTTCTAAAATTACAAAAAAGACAAAAACAATGATTTATCTAATCAGAATTACATTTAAAGACCATTCAAAGGAAATTATCTCCAAACTATACAAAACCTATATACGACCCAAAATAGAATTGGCAATGCCAGTTTGTAATCCATGTTTTGTTAAAATTCATAAATGTTGGAAAAAAAGCAAAGAAAGGTAACTAGAATTCCTCCAGAACTGTAGCTATTTCCATTCTGCAACTCCAAACATATAAAGAACGTAGACTTAGAAATGACCTGATTGAAACGTTCAAATGGACTAGTGGAAATTACTCTTGTACAAATATTTTTCATAAAACATAGAGGATATTCCAAAAAATTGGAAAAATAAAAATGCAACCTAGTGGTGTATACTTGGAACAACTTGCAAGAGGACACTATCGTATCGAGATCAGTTAACCAGTAGAAGAATCGTTTAGATCAGCGTTTCTCAAAATGTGCTCCGCGGAGACCTGAGGCTCCGCAAAGCCTCTGTGGGGGCTCCGCGAAAATAATAGCCATAATAAAAAAAATACTAAAGGTTTGAGGATTTTTTTTTTTCACTAAGAAAGGATTGATTTTCCTTAAGGACTTTTTGAAACACTGGTCTAGATAAAGAACTGAAAAATGCTTCAAACATCACAGTCTACTATACCAATTGCTGTAAAAAAACTGGCATATCAACTAGCAGTTGCAAACAATAAAAAATTTCCAAAGTCTTGCGAAAAAGAAAAATGTGCTGGACGGGATTGGTTTACAGCATTTTTAAAAAGAAATGAAAATATTTCAATACGAACTGCTCAGTCAACATCACTGGCTAGATCAATGGGATTAAATAAACCAGTGGTAGATGGATTTTACAAAAAACTTGAAGAGTTTTATTCGAAATTTAAGTTTAGTGCAGATAGAATATATAGTGTGGACGAAACGGCTTTAACTACTGTTCAAGATTCTCCTGAAGTTGTAGCATCAAAGGGCCAAAAGCAAGTTGCACAGGTAACATCGGCAGAAAGAGGGTAACTAGTAACTATGTGTGAGGAGTAAGTGCAGTAGGAAACATTATACCTCCTCTGTTAATATTTCCAAGCGTTCACTATAAGGATATAATGCTGAAGATAGCACCTCCCTGTTCTATAGACTCAGCTAGTCCATCAGGTTGGATGTTAACAGAAATTTTTAACCGATATTTAGAACATTTTATACGATATTCAGAAGCAACCAAGGAAAATCCTGTGCTCTTAATAATGGACAACCACGAGACCCACATCTCTGTTAAAGGTATTGTAGTCTAATCAACAAGTTCAAAAGCGTGTTTTTGGGACATACTATTACGAAAATTATGTTCCAATAGCTCATTCGATTCGGAATAATGTCTAGATCAATGTATGAAGAAAAATTTTGCAGTGCATAAAAAATTGCAAAAGTTATAAACAATTAAACACCTCAAAAACATGGTGTTTGGTTTTTCGCCTATAGTTTGTAAACTATAAATATTTTTGGATTTTTCAAAAAAGATCCTTAAAGAGGAGGAAATTTGCTATAAATAAGTTCCGACTCCCGGAACTGTACCTCCATTATTTATAATTTTAATTTAACGCTCAAAGTAGCCTTCCGCGCGCCATTTTTAGGTTGCGCGCACGGCGTCGAAACCGAGTACGTTACATAAAATAATTTTTTTAAGTGAATAAAATTAAATTCAAAAATTTAAAAAAGTTACGGTGTATTCTAAACACCTAGAAGAATTCATTCCCGTTGGAATTTTTCATAAAAATTAATTTTCCAACAAAGTAGGTTATTGCTAATTAACAAAATTTTTAGAATGTCTCTCATCATTACAAATTGATAAAAATATTAAATAATTACCGTAATTTTTTTTTGCATCGTCTCTTTTTATATACATATAAAACAAAATAGCTTCATAAAAGTTTAAAAAATATTAATACTTTGTTAATAATAATTTTTTAAAGTTTACAAAAACAGAAAAATCACAGTGGTGCTATAAAAATTTTTTTTTTGGTAATTCTGTAATTCAATACGTTTATTTTTAACGGGTGTTAAATTTTTTCGATTTAAACAAATTGTAATTCTGTAAAAATAAAGTTAACGCATACGTTAAATTAAAAAAAAAAAAAATAAACATACATTAAAAGTAGTTCAAATTTGCAATGAATGTTTGGTTAAGTTTTAATATTTGTCAAATAAATGTTATTCCTTCTGTTATATTCATTGAATCTCTCTGTTTTTAGTGTTTTTGTACAAGAATATTGAAAAAAGTAGCAGCCGAATGTACTTTATAAACTATTTGGTTGGCAATCAATGTATAGTTTCACTTGACGTACAAAATTACTTACAAACTGGTGACGATGGCCTCGGTGAGCCCGTACAAATTGTGCACGTTGTAATGCGACCCCGCGTAATGTTTGGCTGTCATGCACATCGTTTTGTCATAGAGCACGCCTCCGTCAACGTCCGGCGTATAGGGAGGATTATCGAACGGCGATTCGGGACATCCTTCGAACGAGCCAGACAAGAAATTTGAGGGTTCGTTCATGTCGATCCAAGCGCCGTCAAATTGAATCTCTTTGTGCAACGTTTTCAACATCAACGTCCAGTAATCGACGGCAGTGGGGTTGGTGAAGTCAGGCCAAACTGTTGACACCTTGTTCCATACCTTAAAAAACGATATGAGTGACGGTATTACTAATAAAACGAAATTACCTTTCCGATGAAAGGTTGACCGCTGGCGTTCTTCACGAATATGTCCATCTCGATGCCGATATCGTAAGGGGGGTAAGAACCTCGTACTTCGCTGGCGCTCACTCCTGGATCGACGAGCGGAATGTAGTGCATCCCTCTGGCGTGCAAATCTTTTATGAACGCCGGCAAACCTTCGAAATTGTCGTGATCGTACGTGAAATCGTTGCTGTTGTTCATGTAGTCCAGATCGTTCCATTGGGTGTCCTGGGTAAAAGAGCACAATTGAAGTCTAATTTATAAGTAAATTCACCAATAATGAACTTTTCTATACCGAATCATCCAAACAGACTTCTTTTAATTTATAAAAAAATTAATGGATACAGATGAAGAAGACATTTTAAATGAACTCGAAAATGAAATTGTTGAAGATCGAAAAATGAAATCGGAAGAAGATTAAAAAAGTTGACCTCTTAAAGAACGGTACCTTTCTTAGCATTTTACACCTTAATATAAGAAGTGCTTTTAAGACCTTTGGTGAAGTTTTAATGTTTATAAAATCCGCTAATTTAAAAGCATGCGCATTGGGTTATATTCAACGTACATGTCGCGCGCAGCTGCTATGTTGTGGCCTGTTCTATCACATGGATTTTGCACGTGGACATAGCCAGGTACACTAACACTCGTATAAACGAACATAGAAACAAAATGTGGCAAAAAACCCTCTCTGAAGTGAAATCCGGAGACAATTCATTGTGGGGGGTTGTAAGAAGGTACAAAAAACCCAGCTCACAACTTCCCACAATGAACCAAGGACAAAATACTCTGACAAACGATAATGATAAGGGACGAGCCTTCGGCGAATATTTCCAGCGTAATTTCACAAATCAGTACGTAAATAATAATAGACAAAATCAAATCGAGGAACTCGTCAACGATGTAGGTGCATCAGACCCAGTTCACGTCCCCCACTCTTTCATGACCTCTCCTAAAGAGGTAGGGAATGCACTCAAGCGACTCAAAAATAGAAAAGCTCCGGGACCGGATGACATTAGTAATATATTACTTAAAAATCTTCCAAAAAGGGGGTTGTACAACTCAACTACATAATAAATGCAATCTTCAGGTTACAACACTATCCGAGTTGCCTGAAGATTGCAAATATTATACCAATATTAAAAACAGGTAAAAACCCCAAAAATATAGAAAGCTATCGGCCCATCTCGTTGCTAAACACAATATCAATTATTTTACACAGACTAAAAAACATCGAACAACGACTAAGACTTATCCCGCAGGAACAGTACGGGTTCCGAAGGGGACATAGTACCGTTGCACAAATACTAAGAATAGCTCATTATGCCAAAGAGGCCACTAACATCAATAAACAAACGGTACTTGTCGCACTTGACTGCGAAAAGGCCTTCGATTCTGTCTGGACCTGCGGGCTAATCCACAAAATGCTTGTGAATGATTTTCCCGTACATATTGTAAAGATAATTCACTCTTACATAACGGACAGACAATTCAACGTAAAGATCAACAACACAACGACAGGATCATACATCGCGCAGGCGGGAGTGCCCCAGGGCTCAGTACTTTCGCCGCATTTGTACACCATTATGACCCATGACATGCCAATGGGTAATAATGGGGTACAAACGGCACTGTACGCCGACGATATTTGTCTGTACAAAAGCAACCATTCAGCAGAAAGTGCCCTCAGGACACTGGACATCCATATAAACAGGAAGTTAGTCCCCTATTTAATTAAAAACAAAATTAAAATCAACCCCCAAAAATCCGAGAGCATGCTCATCACTAAGCGAAGGTCAAGGGGAGGGAGTTCATATACCGCTCAATATTCAGGGACAACAGGTAGGCACTAGGAATAGCATGAAGTATCTCGGTTTTCAATTAGATAGGGGACTAACATTCGATCGGCACATCAAAGACAGGGTGGCCAAAAGACATATAGCGATAAAAACTCTTTATCCTCTATTAAACAGGAGGAGCAAAGTCACCCTGGATAATAAACTTTTACTTTTCAAATCCATCTTAAGACCGATATTAACATATGGATGTCCGGTCTACTGCTCGATGGCCAATTGTCACTATAACAAAATGCAAATTGCACAGAACAGATGTCTTCGGCTAGCACTGGGCTACGACCGCTATGCAAGAATTGAAGACATGCACGTACAAACAGAGACTCCACGAATCAAGGACTATGTACTAAAAACAGCCGAGAATTTCTACATGCGGTGTCTCCCCGATAATGTGAAAGATGATATCTTTAGCATCTATCGCGGGGACGGCGTACGTAGAACACACGGCTGTTTACACGCGAAACTGGACATATACAGACACAGAAACATACAATAATAATAACAAAATACAATAACATTCCTCCTTAACGATCCCAGACAAACTAAACAACAGCTCGCACCGACTAGATACTCGCGCAAACTAGTCGGACAGTGGACTGAACAGTAGACTGGCCATCGAAGCAACAAGCGTGAAATCCGCGATTGTTGCCTCGATGGACGGTGTATCGAGCACTCCGCCTGTGAGTTGTATTACTGAACAATAGACTAAGCAAACAACTATACACACAAGGACAACCCTATTTTTTCTAGCTTTTTCAGGGGACAAAAACCATAACTCAAACGCGACATATCCTTTTACAAATTCCCATTACCGATTCCAAAACAATCCTAATCCCTCAATAATATCGCATGGTAAGGAGTGAGGGCTGCAATATGTGATCATTTTTTATCAGAATAGGGGTAGATATAGGTGGACAAGTCCGGTCGGACTCTAGACCAGCACGAAAGGAGAAGATCCCGGTAGCGTTGATTATACTATTTCATATTCTGAATCTGTAGATATTTTAACTATGTAAATAAAATCCTTGTTACTGTTACTGCACGTTTTACTTTCTCTCTCGCACAAATTTAATTGCTCCTATTTGAAAACTTTAAAGCTTGGCATTAGTATTCCATAAACAGTTTTTTTACAGACAAGCCAATACGATTATTTTCGTAATTAAATTATCTCCGTTCCGATATCAATTTTTATTGGTTGACATATCGGTGTAGTTACCTATATTAACTTACCTTTTCATACCTGTTTGCCAGGTAGACATGGACAGAAATAAGTAAACTACCGAGGCATATTCTTCATGTTAAAATCAAAATTGTTCGGTTATCAGGAAAGTGAAGGTTATATATATATAAAAAAAAGATTAAAATTTATTTAATTAAAAATAGCCATGAACCCTTTTCGAATGGCAAGTTCCCATAGGCGTGTTAATAATTCAATAAAATTTCATAAAAAATATGCCTTCTCTGGTTGTCAGATGGGTGAAGGTCGATCCCACGGTCTCCTAAACTATAAGGATACAACTTTTTTTAATATATTAACTTCAGACACCTTCGACAAGAATTACATCGCATACTCAATCTTGTCTAGACCACATATTTGTGAGATCGAAATCAACTTCCAATAAAGTTGAATACAACGTCTCAGTAATTAACACCAATATAACAGATCACCTTCCGGCAGTGGTGTAGGGGTTTTTGAGAACTATGGGGGGTTTCATCAAGAAAGTGAATAAAAAAAAACAGTCAGTAGCGATCAGCGCCAATACTATAGCGGAAATGGGGACGCGAGGATCCTCCATGGGAGGGGGTTCTAAACCCCCCTGGCTACGCCACTGCCTTCCGGTCTATTTGTCCATAAACAGTAAACATAACCATTTCTCTAAAAAAAAAACATAACATATAAAAGAATCAATGTTTCTAAAACCGGTCGACAGAAATTAAATTATCTCTCTTATCAAAAACCTAAAAAGAAAATAGTTCGCCTGGAATTGATCAGATAACATCTAAATTAATAAAAAAATATCAGAATTCTATTTTAACACCTCTTGTTCACATTATTAATTTAATATTTCAAAGTGAAGAAATTCCAGAACAACTCAAAACATCAATAGTTTCTCCGATAAACAACAATGGAAACAAAAACCACACAACAAATTATAGACTCATTAGTCTCATAAATACCACAGCAAAAATTTTTGAAAAATGATTAAAGGTAAGATTAAATGATTATCTAATAAAAATGACATACTAACTGAAAATCAATACGGGTTTAAACAAAACATGAGAACAGGTGATGCAATGTTTGAACTGGTAAATCAAATTAAAATTAACCTAGACAAAGGTAATAAATGTGTAGCAATATTTCTTGATCTGGCAAAAGCCTTTGACACAGTACCTCATGATACACTCTTAAATGTTCTAGAACAATATGGACTGAGAGGTTCTGTATTAAAACTTCTAAAGAATTATCTACTTCACAGAAAACAAATGGTTAAAATGAAAGTGACCCAGAAGAAGTAAAAGCAAAAGCAGGCGTCCCCCAAGGAACTATTCTTGGACCAACCCTGTTTTTAGTATATATAAACTCCTTTTTGAAGACACATGATAATGGAATAGTGATTTATATGCAAATGACACTGCTATAATTTTTAATGATCACAATTGGAAAGATGTAAAGATCAAAACTCAACTGTTTGAAAAGGACGAATGCATGTGAATACATATTATACTTTTATTATCGCTCTTGTGTTGTATATGTTATGCGAGCAATTTTAGACCAGCCCGATTCTGCTCGAATTCCTCATGTCCCTCTCTGCCTTATATGCGCCTTTTACGGTCTTCATTTTTTTTTTTCGTTACCGAGAATATTCAATAAACTAAGACAACCTCCCCATGCTCGTCATAGACAGTCGAAATAAACCGTCCATTCTAGAATATGCTGGATCTATCGAATAATGTTAACAAACCATCTACAAACAACAACTGTGGTGCAGGCGGCGATACCGAAGCAGGTATTCTTAGTCTAGGGACGTATGGAATATTCGACAGCAAGTCTGGAGAGCCCACATATGTATATAAATAGACTAAGGTTTGTAGTTTAGTTCTAGTTAATATATAGTTTTGGCCAAATAAATGTTGTCAATGTAAATTAAATTAGTGTATAAGTAAAATAAATATAAATTAGTGTTGTATTGTTCAAATAAATTAGTGAAAACAAACTGTTTACATAAATAAACGTTACAATATGTAATTAATTTTTAATTTTATATTTTATGATCTTCTAAGTGTCCAATCATGTAAGTAATTGTTAGTAATGCATAATTTTGTCAATAAACATACATATTATTAAGGCAAACCGGCTAGGTATCCCCCAAATATAAACGAAAAGCTCACCAACGGTATTCCGGCGTCGATGTTCCTCTGCATGACCTTCTTGGTCTCGTCCAATGTCTTGTAACCGAACCGGCACAGATGGAAGCCGAGAGACCAATATGGCGGCATGTAAGGCCGGCCAATCAAATCGGTGTATTGGCTGACGACGTCGCTGGGCGTAGGTCCCAGAAAGAAATACAAATCCAAGATGCCGCCAATGGTGCGGAAGGTGATAGCAGGCGTCGGTTGTAAGATGACATCTAAACATACAAATATGGATAAGTAGGTAGCACGGTTAGTAAACTGAAACGGTGGCCTCAACAGGTTACTAGGAACAGGGGTGTGACGTCACAGAATAAAAAATAGAAGTTAGTACATTAGTTCTAATAATTTACTATCCTTTAGTAGTGTTCACATTTTTATTTTTGGTCTATTTTCCAGTGTCAATGACGAGATTTTTTAATAATTACAATACAAAATATATTTTGCGTTTTACTTACCCATCGCGTTACTGTTTAACAAAAAGACGCCATGGCTTTTTCCGGATTCTTCCATTGCCAAATAAAATGGATGACTACCGTATGTATTTTTCTGAAATGACGCAAATAAAGAAAAATTATCATATTGCACGAGTTTAACAACTTTTGAGAGGTACCACAAGGCACGATCAAAAGATAACTCGAACTTGGAACGCTGGTTAAATTCCGGCTCGAAGGACCATGAAATGATTAAGCTCTATATGTACTCGTTTTGAGTTGATTTCTAGTAATAATTGTGTATTTATTTTAAAGTAGCATAGAGCGAAATACATTTTGAGTTAAGTTTTTGATTGCTCCTTGCGCATTAAAACATCACGAAGAAAGAAACTTACATTATCTGTGGGAATCTCATCGTGATTGAACAACGTATACCTGGTCCACTGCGTGGATAGCAATAGATGAGATCTGTGCTCCCCGATACCATAGATGTATTTCGACGGTAATTTCGAACTGATTTGCAACAACTGATTCGAGTAAATGAAGTTGATGAAATCGTTTGAATCGAATCTGGAAAATTAAGATTTTACTTATATCGTTCAATTTATGTATTATTTGAGTTGCGGACTCACATTGTAATTTTATCAACCTTTCTTATTACTCTGAAACCTGGTTTGAATGTATCGATTTTAAAAATATATGTTACATTAATGGAGGCTTTGTCCACGATCGGTACTTCAGGATAGGGGGATTCGAATCTAAAATTGTTGGGATCTACGATCTGAAACATCATTATTCTGTATTAAAATTGAAATAGAAATGAAAAAGGAAATAAATAAGTTAGCACCTAGGTGTAGGCACCTGTATGTGCTAGACAGACTAATTGTAAGACTGAATTGAAGACTAAAACTAAAACGCACAGTTAATGTATTTTTAATGTTTTTTAAAAAATGTTAAATGTAATAATGTATAATAGAATACCCCAATTGTAGATAGTGACTCATGTTGTAAAGAAATTTTATAGGCCAATAAAATTAATAAAAAAAGCAGGTATGAAAAAATAAGGAATTAAAAGAAATAAAACAAAAAATGACTTTTTGGTTATTAAATAATATTTAAGACATTTAAACTGTCACTTAAATGAAATTTAGCATATCAAGTGACTACTTAAACTAACCTTTACACGCAACCTCGTATCCGTCTCATACTTAACGATCATCTTGATCACCTCCACGTCATCCGGATAAGCGGTCCTATATTGACGTTTCAAAAAGGCTATAAGTCCAAAACTAGTTTCAGTAATATTAATAACGTTATAAGTATTGTAATTTGGCGGATAAAAACAGTATGGCACATCGAGGGGTACCTGAACGGAAGAGCTTCTTTTGATTTTCTTTGGCATCCAACAGCATCCTCTTGCTTCGCACTTTTGTTCATCGGCGTCGACTTCCGGATAACAATCGTATTTATCAATATCGTGCAGTAATCTGCACTGATCCGGGCGTGGTTTGGGAGGAACTGGTAGTTCTGATAACGTATCATGTTTGTTTTGGTTTTTTATTATAACAGTAGTGTTTAAAAACTGAAAAATTTAAGAAATTTGAAAACTGTACATATCTAAATAAATTATTATTACTATTATTATTGTTAAGAATAGGCAAACGACATAGTCGATGAAGCTGCTCTTTTAGTTAGTAACAAACATTATTCTAAATTAATACGAGTACATGATAGTTAAAACTTAATATGCTATAAACTTTTTAGTTGTTTTATTCTCTATCAGTATTAATTTTTTGTTTGGTTACTTAATACAAGAATATGTGGTAAAATGGTGGTAATATGATTGATGTAATTATCAATTGCAAATTATGGCACTATGGGTTTTGCTAGGTGTTCCTCTAATCTTGGTAAATACCCCATTCTTACTCAGAAAGTGGACCTAGCTCGCACAATAACAATTAATACTAGAACATCGCGCAGTTGATATTTTTGCATCAATTTTAATTTTTTATTTCATCTTTATGTAATATTTAGTTATGGATATTGACTTTGTATATTGTCCCGAAATAAAGAATTTGATTTGATAATAAATAAAATTATTTCTTCCTTCTTCGAGATCTTTGTCCACTTTCGCCTTGAACTGGTTTATGTTCTGGGCTAAGACCGTATGTTCGTGAAGACCATTCCACAGATATACAGTTCTGTTTGTAATGAAATTTTTTCTTTCCAGTTTATTACACTTTTCTTTAATTTCTTTGAGTAAACTCTCAAGGTTCTTGATGTGCTGTCCTGGAAGATGTTATCACAGGTGTAATATCCGCTGATCCACTTGTAAGATTCTATCAAGTATCCTCTAGTTGGCTTCAGACTCAATGATTCTGCATAAATCGCTGGTGTATAAAATAAATAATAGAGGACCCAAGATCAAATCTTGTGATACTACACTCACTACTGGATGGTTGTTTGACAGCTGTCCATTTATTTTTCGCAGAACTTCCGGTTGAATAAGAAACTCTTAATCCACAATAATAGATTGCCTCTTATTCCAAAGTGTATGTCATCAAATATAAGAACCAACTTGCCTAAAGATCATTTAAAACTACTAATAGGTCTTTAGCTACTGTTGTTAATATACTATTAACGGATTGAGGCAGCACTGTCACCAGCCAAAGGGTCCTGGAGTCCAGAAGGAACATCCATTCACCAGTGGCAAATAAAAATTAAAAAAATCAAATTTAAAGAATAAAAATTATCCCTTAATAGCATAGTCGAGCGATTTTTGGCAACTAGTTTTAGACTCTTCTAGTCCTAAAGGAATATAAACGCCGAGGCTTCTCAAATGCTCAGAATATCTTACTGGTTTTGGAAAGGGGGGAGAGATTAATAATAAATATTAAAACATTAACAATGTATATTTAAAATAAATACAAAATTTGACTAATAGTCTTAAGAAAGATTGAATAAAATATTTAGGGAATAAAGCACTACTTGATAATATATGCAAACTTTTAATTAAAAAAAAGTTATGATTTATGACAACTAGATAAACTTCCTATTAAATTATATAGTTTGGACTTATTAACAATTAAAAATAGCACTGGAAATTTTAACTACATAATAATATAAAACTGTCATTTATATGTAACTCAATTAATTATCTCGAACTAAACACTTTAAAAATAAGTTAAAAATGTTTACCCATAGTTCACAAATCGCTGAACAAAAACTTTACACATTACTTTGTTTTGGGACTCAGTCCTCACTCGAGTCTTCTTTCTGTCTAGTCTCTCTATATAAACCGAAAATTTACGTGATAGTTGTACTTGTTAGAATGCCCACGTTCTACCTTGAATTCTCCTAGTTCAATGTAAGCCATTGACTGAAGTAATAACCTGTTTGTTTTATTTCCATACGTGTGTTCCTTTTAAATTTTTAATTTAAAACATTAAAAAATCTTTTTTAGAATTTTTGGTAAATTCTTTATATTTTTAAATAATAATGCCAATTATTACAAGTCTTCCAGTTTGCTAAGCTAAGCAGCCTTGAAAAGCTTTCTCATAATCAAGATATATCACATCAATTGGCTGGTTGTTGTTATTCCAAGCTGTCCACTGGTTAACTGCACAAATCTTTTGTGCGTAAATCCATGCTGATTGCTTGGTAAAACTCTGTGTTCCATCAAAAACTTGGTTACTTCTTTTGTAATAATCTTTTCCATTGCTTTACCGATATAGCTTGTAAGATTGACTGGACGATAGTTTATAGGATTCTTTTTGTCGCCTTTTTTTATGTAGGAGTGACTACAGTCTGTTTCCAGTCCTGTTTTTGCATAGAGTTGTTCATAACTGTTGCTGGAACGTACCGTTTACTAATACGTCCGCAACATATCAGATCGACAACATGACTTTGTAAAAGGTCGTTCAACAGTTACAAATCTCTCCATAATTATGCAGTATATTTCAGTAAAAATTGATAACTGAACTCAGACAGATGTTATTTATATGGATATGACAAAGGCATTTGATCAGCTTGACCACGGTATTTTGGTAAAAAAAACTAGTCCCTTTTGGACTTTCAAACAATCTTATTCGTCTTCTTACATCATATCTCACCAACAGCACACAATACCTTCAATTAAATGGATTTAAGTTTGATCAGTATTCTGCACCTCCAGTGTTCCTCAGGGATCAAATCTATGCCCGTTGGCTTTTTAACATTTACATGAATGACATGGTGGATGTAGTTGATATTGATTCTTTAATTTACGCCATCGCCTTTTATCCGCTCACAGCTTGAGTTTGCTTCGGTTATATGGAGTCGCAGTTACCAGGTACAGGTTACCAGGTTAGAGGCTCTTTAAAGACGGTTTCTCAAATATTTAAGTTTCCAAGAAGACCAAGTGTATCCTCCAATTGGCACCCTACATAGCGAACTGTTAGTAAGACATATTTTCTCGAGTCTTGAAGCAAGGCGCAAGTATTTTTCAGTGGTTACACTGCACAAAGTCATAACCAACAAAATAAATTGTAAAGACCTGCTGCATATGTTAAATTTTAGGATTCCCTGCCAAAATTCTAGGTGCAATGATACTTTTTACTTGACTACTCCTCGCACCAAAATTTTAAGCAAATCTCCATTATATGTCATGTGTAGTAATTGCAACAGCATTAACTCTGAGTTGGATATATTTAACATTAGAAATTTGGACATAAAACATTTGGTTTTGAGATTATTTTATCGATTTAAATAGTCTGTTTTTTTCTTTCTTAAATGTTTATTCTTTTATTTTGTAATTTTTTGCCTTGACTTTTTCTGAGATATTTGTTTTTTCATATTTTGCCTGTTCTTTAATTGGGAATTTCCTGTAGAACAGTTTGTAAAAATAAATAAATAACTGTTGCGAGGAGATTAGGCTGTTAGAACATTTTTTTAGAAAAGTTAGTGGGATGTCATCTATTCCAGGACTTGACTTTTGTTTAAAGTTTACTTTTTCAGGGGTACATTCTACATTTACTATGCTATTCTCAACTCTTTCTGTTGCAGGTAAATATTTTCAAAATTTTTGAAGTAGTTTGGAAGTCCTCCTGTTAGAGATAGATCCATGTGCAAATAAATCGATTTTAGATTGAAGAAAAACAAGGACTTAATTATGAATGATCGGATTTAGGAACATAGGTACTTTATTACTGTTGATTTATTAAAAAATATAATTAACAATTATTTTTTGTTATAAATATATTAAATATTCTTTAATTAAAAATTAGAAATATTTATATAGTCTCTTATCCCAATTTACAAATGTGAGAGCAAGGATGATATTACAAATTATAAGCCTATTTGCATTCAATCTGATATTTCTAAGTTATTAGACTGTATTATTTCAAAAAAAACTATTACAGGACACTAATTCTATAATCAATAGTGAGCAACATATAAATGTTGTACATATACACCTGTTAGCAAAACTTAATTCCTTGGGAATAGTGGGCCCCATGCTTTCATGGCTCAGCAGTTACCTTAAAGGACGTTCTCATTATGTAAGATAAGCTGTCTGCATATCATCAGCGATGCAGCTATAGTGTCATCTTCGCTTTACCACAAGGGTCACATTTATGCCCTTTGTTATTCAATTTATTTTAAATGATGTAGTGAAGGTTATAATTTACTCAGATAAGTAAATTTTTACAGACGATTTTAAACTTTATATGCCTATAAATAAATACGATTGAGGATGACACTTTGCTTCTGTTAATACAGATTGGTCATTCTTACACTCTGTAAAAGAAGTAAATGAAGCTGTTCTATAATATAATTTACTCAAAAATTGATAGGTTTGTGCCAAAGCAAAGTAATTTCAAAAACAAATACGCTTGGTTTACAAAAGAAATAATAAATGATATTAAACAAAAAAACAGTATTATAAAACAAATGAAAAATAATAATAGTCAACTTCATAGGCTTCAGTTCAGAGAGCTAAGTGCAAGAATGAAAGAGAAAATCAATATCGCTTACAAGAATCATGTCTCTAAGGCTGAAAATTCGATTCGAGAAAATTCATTGAATTACTGGGAATATATTCACAAAATAAGAGGTGCTTTACAAATTCCAGGGCTCATGCTCTTAAATGGGTTGAATACACAACTCCTGATAGTATAGTTAACGAGTATGCTGATTTTTTAGTAGTTTTTGTACCAAATTCAAATGAACCTCCCCCAGTACCACTCGTCAATCCTTATCAAACCCTAATATTTCCATCAAGAAGTTTGAAGAGGACGAAATCAGTACTGTGTTGCATAAACTCAAGGCAAAATTTACTTGTGGTTATGATAACAAAGGTACCTGTAAAACACTGTGCTAATATATTTGCAATCCCTCTTTGCAAAATATTTTACATGGCCCTACAAACAAACGACTTCCCTGAGGTCTGGAAGTTGTCAAAAATCATTCCTATATTTAAAACTGGTAAGATCAATGACATTATTAACTACCGCTCTATTATCCAACTTTTCAAAGGCTTTCAAGATGGCAATGTACAATAGAATTTTGTCAAGAGTAAAAAAATTAATTTCAGAGAATCAACATGGTTTTATTTGTCAAAGATCAACCCTCACAAATCTAATGTGCTTTATACAAAAAGTCAGTCATGCTATTGACTCGCAATAACTGATACAATCTATACTGACTTATCAAAGGTCTTTGACAAGATGGATCATAGCACAATGCAGCTATTATTGTTAATAGTCAGCTTAAAGTGTCCTATCATTTAAAGAAAAAAGATCCTGAATTTTAGTTAAAGTTAAATATATTTTGTTAAAATGCTTTTTGAACTTACTGCCGGACCACGGTGATAAAATTCTTGATTGTCAAAGGAAAATCTAAAGCAATTTACTAAGTATATGATTGGGAGTAGGATAAAAACAGCCGTCAGCACGAATATCACTAAAATTATGGGCAGACTAGGACGGAGTACAGGTTTTGTGTTCGTTTCTTTGAAACGGATATATCCACTAAGATATCCTTCATTCTGAAACAATAAAGTAAATAAATGTTAATATTTGTTAAACTGCCGTTAATATAATGTTTAAATAATGAAAGTTGCATCTAGAATGATGTACTTCTTTAACACAACATTGGTACAATTAAATTAGCAGCATTTTATAACAGATAAGGTACTATAATCAAAAACAATAACAAATTGTCACCAGAAGAAGCGATATGAAGTACAAATAGTACATGTTTTTTTAATTTCTACCTTTGTTTATTCTTCACAATCTTAAATTAAGTATTATATTTACCTGGGACGGAACAGAATTCGACTTTCTCTGGGCGGATCTAATATAAGAAAATTTATTATCATTTTCACCATGAAAAGCTTCGAACGATACCAAATTAGTGGCCGAAACTTGTCTTGAATTTCTGGCTCTGAACGATCTAATGAAATCCCTTATTCTCATTTTAAACGTTTATACAAAAGAATTTTTGAATGAAAACAAGTTGTGTTTACATTTCCGGTATAATATATAGAAGTGGGATGAAATAATGATAACAATTAGATAAGAGTTTCTAGTTTTCGATAAAAATAAATATTTACTATTTATGTATTTAATTTGATAACATTGACAGTTGACACTGACAATCAATTTGATGTAGCTAACTTCAGAACTAATACCGTTGTCAAATATAGATAGTCTCCGAAGAAATACTAAAAGCAAACACAGATTTCAAATCTCAGTAAATTACCTTTAAAGAGGGCTGCTTATAAGACACGACTGTTACAATCAACAATACAATTTATTAAAATATCATCCATTAACAATTTTTGGCCTGAGCTACTGCGGATGGCCAGCGTTTAATCGAATTTCTTCTATTCGTAGCCTTTTACGGGTTTGCAAATCTGTCACATTTTGTATTTATTGTCAATAAATTTAAGGCTTTTACGTTTCTGTAAAACGGTCACTGATACTTATGAGAAAAATTTCATTTTTTTTTTTAAATAAAATCTTACATATAATATTTATAAATAATGTGAAATAATTGTTTTGTTACTTACCTACCATATTTTTTTGTTTCAAAACACCTTTAGTTTTCACAGGATAAACTAATAAAAAAAATCAAACTACCAAAAATAAAAACGCAGATAATTAATAAAAAAAGCTTTACTATTCGTACATTTATTGATACCGTTCTGATTTGTTGATTTTCGAGCCCGTATTGAGAGGAGTAAATACTTCGTAATCGGCCACCATAAAATTGTAATCGCCCATCAAGACTGACGGAGAAGCCCCGTCTCCATCGTAAGTGTGCGGTAAATTCGAATAACTGTCCATGTTGGAATTGCAATTGCTTGAAATTAGCAGATCCGCACCGGCCCCGAAAATTGGCCCAGATCTAAAAATAGAAAAGAAAGGTTTATAAATATTTCGTAAAAATATATTTCATTGATGTTACAATTTTCTATAATTAGCTATAAACACCAATAAAATAGATATAAGAGAACGCATCTAACTTAAAGTTGCTGCAATGCACCTATAATACATTCCACAATTTCTGACGATATAAAGCAAAATATATATAAATAAAAAAATATATAAAATATTTAAAAAAAATTCTTACTCAGGATGATAGCAAATCGCGAACGGTTTCTTGACTAAATGAAACTGTGTGGGCGGTATATCTTGATGGTTATAGAGCGTGAATATAAAAGCACGTTCCGAATGTACGTAGTGGCTTTTTCCTGGAGGCCTACCCCAAGCAGCATCGCTGAATCCACCGCATATCTCGCCTCTTGTTCCCTAAAAAAATATTAGATAAAACTATATACATATTCGGAATATACACAACGATTTTTACAAGATAGTATGCGTCTGTATAAGATTTGTGCACAAATAAATCACGAAAGTTATAATAACACAATCATAGCAAATACAAAGTAGACTTATACAGACGTGGCAAGTCCAAGATAAGGCCCCACCAAGATCAAGTGGCAACAAAACAAAACAAGTTCCGCTTTTTGTAAAGATTTTTTTAAAAAACAATTTTTTATTAGCGAACCTAAAAGTCGGATGAATTTTTAGTAAGGGCAGAAAATAGGATATACAAATAAATACATTTTTAGAATTTACACGCCTCAAAATCTATAAGATACCATGAAAAAAGCACTTCCTATTATTTGACCATTTATGTCAGGAATCAGATTTTCTTATTTCTTTAAATGCCCAAATATATCTATTGTAATAGAAATGAATCATCAAAAATTTAAAATTAAAAGTTGGTAAGTATAATGTATATTTGCTACGTTTGAAAAGTACCTCACGGAGCGGAGCAGAGCTAGTAGATTTTTTAGTCACGTGATCATCGAGCAAATCGAGCTTATGTGGAATAAAAGAACGGCTATGGATTTGTTTGTGTTTCCCGTATCCGGTTTTCATTAAAATAACAAACGTAAACCTTTCTTTTAAATCAAATTTGATCTCTCGTCTCGTGGTTTTTGTTGCAAGTTGCCAAGTAAAGTAAATTTTTATCTGTGGTATTTTTCGCTTTTTTGCTTTCACTAGAAAATAAACCATGTTCTCATTTCTGTCTGACATGTTTTATAAATATTTTTTTTAATAACCAAACACATATGAAAAAGAATAAACTGCAATACAAGAGACAACGAACGATGTCTATACATCTCAGAAAAGTACATGTACTTTGTTAATTGTCACAGAAATTCCATTTACTTCGAAAGCTCTAAAATTTAACTCTGAGTAAATAGATCTTACTCGATTTACCAGCTCTGCATTAAAAGACCACGTAGCAGATCCCATCGAGAAGCCGCAGATGTATTAAAAGAACGACTTCGAGTAAAAAGAGCAAAATGAGGTAATTTTCAAACGCAGCAATTGGTGTAAATAATAAATTTAAAAATATCACCCTGTACATCAAATTCTTAAATAAAAAAAAATTGTCAAATCAGATGTCAGAAATATCCTGGGAGACGAAAAAAAAAAATTTGATGGATTTTGAAGGTTGTTAAAAATAAATCGGACGGGGAACCAATTTTTTAAGTTTTCGAGAGCTTTAATAATCTAAATTTTAAGTTTCAGTAAAATTATAAAGATTTATACAAAGTTGTGACATTGCAATAACTGATAGTTCAAATAGACAAGTTGTATCAATCAGTTTTACGGTACAATAAACGGTTTAAATTAAATGGTGACCGGAATAAGATGCAAGGTAGTGCAGCCTGAACAAGAAAATTGAATCCAGTTAAGAATAAGACTTTTCATGTGAGTAGATAAGATTTTTTTGATGTGAAAGTAAAGAATAATTTGTTATTCGCGTTGATATTTACCAAAGGCTGTCTCTACTTTTAGAGATACCTACAACAGACAATTAGGTATAATAGTAGAGATTAATAATTAAGCTGGGTTTAGCCAGCTCTTAATGCATAACTTTAATTCATAATGGATAATGCGTAATGCATAACGCGTAACGAATAACAAATAAGGGATGTTTATACAGCGCAAAACCCAAGTTGTAAATTAGAAATCCTAATTACAAACTACCAAACCCAACAATGTTAAAATGTTATCAATAGGTAAGTATATACCTTTGCGAAAATATCAATTAAAGATCTACAACCATTACAAAAAATAGCAAACAATAAAAAGTAAACAAGAATTTAAGGTTATAAATTTGAAAATAATCAACAATGAAACATTTGCGCACGCGCTTTAGCTTTTTGTACACAATTAGGCATTCCAAACTGAATGACTACCAGTGGGTTTTGACAGGTTATGATGTGGCAAAGTTATGGCAACTCTGTTGACCTGGTGATTTGACAAGGTGAGTGAAATAGATAGTTACATAGATTGATCATCCTTATTTTTTAAAATAAACATAAGCTTATGCCTTGAAGTAAAAATATAAACAATTATTATTTTTTAAATATCTAAAGTCTGAAAATTGGTTTTAAAACACATTTTTGCTAAAATGATTCAAATTAATAAATATTTGCCAGGCAATATGGCTGCTCGCAAACGACCAGCTTTGAGCAATGTATATAACATATATGTATCATTGACCCTGTTAATGACAACATGAAAACAGGGTTGCCATATCTAAACTGTCAGTACCCACTGGTAGCCATTTGGACAGGTCGTTGGAATGCCTAATAGAGGACTTCTATACAAGGGAAGTGCAACCAACTTGACAACATTTTTTTGACACTAATGACATAAGAAATCGGGTCACATAAAGAGGCTGTTTTTTTTGTTAAATTTTTAGTTTTTCTTATCTACTTTTATGCCGTTTAGATACCATGTTGTACCCGTAACGTAAAAAAGACTTTTTATTTTAGGGTATTTTACATTTAAATGTTGAAAACAGTTGTTAATATCAGCTGTCGATAATGTCAAAACATAAGCGTAGCATTGCATTTTATTTTTTGTTGTTTAAAGTCTATTTGTGCGTCTCCCGCTTTCTTAAAACATTTTTTTTTTCATTTGGTTTTATTTATTTATGTCGATTGCAAAATGTTGCTGCTACGAATAGAAGTTCTATACAATATACAACCAACATACAATACTAGTTACGTTATGCCCATCTATAGTTACGCCTGTGTTCTACCATCACCATAATTGACAGCTAACAATGACAAAATGTTTCAACCTTTAAATGTAAAATACCCTAAACTAAAAAGTCTTCTTCACGTTACGGGTACAACAAGGTATGCAAATGGCATGAAAGTAGATAGGAAAAACCAAAAAGCAAACTAAAAAACAGCCTCTTTATGTGACCCGATTTCTTATGTCATTAGTGTCAATTTTATTTTGTCAAGTATCTATTATTCTGAATAATGTTTAATGGTAATGTCACTAAAAAAATTTACAAAAATCACTGGATTTTTAATATTTTAAAGTTTGTTACAATCTCTTTTGACAGTAATTGCAATGTATTATTTATGATGTTTATTTTAATAATAAATGAGAAATAGTTAATAAATTGTAAAGAGGGCCGTGATATTTTTGTCAAATTGGACATTCTTATTTCATATTCTACATTATTAGTTTTAATCAACAGAATAAACCATTATCTGTAAAATGATATTTATATAAAATGTTCATTTAAATATGTAAAAATCTTAATGGCAAGAAAACACTAAAGATTCTAATTTCTAAACCGGTTCTGTAAATGATTTCTTTACAACTAAGTGCTCAAAATTGATACAAGCTAGATAAAAAGAAAACTTTGCCTAGTGAAATACGCTTTTCGTCGTCTGATTTACATATGGATAAGCAATCTTTGTAATTATGTATATCATTGGGTGTGAGGCATAATTGTGCTCTGTGAAAATTTATAAAATTTCTTTACTATCGAATGAAATCCAGGTTTCCAAAGTGATGTGTTTGTACATCCACGGATGCAACAAGTTTTTTCGATATTGATATTACGAAAATAATTCGACTTCATTTTATTAATAATTATTAAACAATAAGGTCCGGTTTTTCAATCTCCGGCTATTTAGGATAGCTGGCAGCTACGGAGATAGCCGTCAGCCACTGCCTGTCAAAACGTTTATCGACCTCCAGTTATACGATAGCCGTCAGCTATTTTGACTGTAACCGTAACCGACACTTGCAAGTGGTAATTTCGTACAAATAGCCGCCAGCTATTTATTGTACATGCGTAAGACGATGTTTGTTAAATTTAGAGGTTAATATTTTTATTTATTTCTGAAAAATGGGTTTCTATTCACAGCGACGATGCCAAAAAATAAATTATTTAAATTATTGAATATTAATCAATGATGACCGTGTAATCCGTGTGTTGTAAGGGAACGGCCCATTTATTTCGATATCGATGAACTAAATTTTATTTTTTTTTTGTTTTTTGTGTCATCGGCATCAACTGCTATGGTTATTAGCCTCGTGTTCTGTGTAGGCTTTGTAACTGTTTCCCAGCGCCACTTTAGGAACAACACTGTTAATTAGTACCCAACAGTAAATGGTCGAGTGTGGAATCCTACCATTCACTGTTGGGTACTAGGGAAACAGTAACAAAGCCTACACAGAACACGAGGCTAATAACCATAGCAGTTGATGCCGAATTATTAAATTTTAGATTTTTCTGCAACCTTCTCATTTCGTTTCCGTGATATTGCATTTTCCGTTTTTTTTTTACATTTTGTAAGATAACCAAATTTCAATAGTAGGGCTCTATCTGATTCCGCGTAATTAGATATTTTCTCTTTTTTCTAAATCACCAATTGCCCAAAAACAGAAAATAACAAGATCTTAAAGAAAAATGGAAGCAAAATAGAACAATTTTTATGTGAAGGTCGGTGACGATCAACACAAGACACGATATGTAAAACGGAAAATTTAAATTATCCAATAAAAACCATTTAACAAATTAGCAGAAATGCCAACCTGTCTAAGAATAAATAAAAACTATTAGACTACGTAGCTAGCAGTTAAATTCGTGATGAAAAACTATTCCATCGGTAACAGGGACTTTGACTGCCAACTAAATATAGCTGTCGGCTACGTAACAGCCACTTTGACTGGACATTGAAAAACCGACCCTAAATGTCGTATAAAACATTAATAAATAACCCCCATAAAGTTCACATTTTTGTCACCAGTTAGCGTTAAAGTCATGACGCACGGTCCCTATCAGGGTTGCCAATCGTACGGTAATTACCGTACTTGTACGGTAATTTCGATTAATGTACGGTATACGGTCCAAAGTCATTAGAGAGTTATCGCCACTCATCAAATTACGAATACGGTAACCTTATTTCTTA